GATCAAAGACCACTAGTTAATTAACTCGTGATACCCATAGCGCATGTGCAGTGAAGTTGAAGTGCCAACGACCCCAGTCTACCGTTTTCAGGTCATTAGGCCGAAGGGGAGAAAAAACGGCCGCAGGAAGGGTAAAATAGCAAAAACAAGAGTGAAAGTGGTCGTTTAGTTGTGATGTACTGTTTTTCCGGCACTTTCTTATAACTGGTGCTCTCTGTACTGTGCAATTAAAAAACGACGTATGGCAACCAACAATGCGACCAATATGCGTGCGTTCGACCAAAGTTTGTCGAACTGTGGTCCTTGATCGAACTTGTCCCTGGTCAACAAACTCGCAAAATGAAGACCTGTCATTTCACGATAAAGCCACCTTGACAAAATAAAGATTGCTAAATCCTGACGGTGCGAGCCTTTCTTTTTTTCTTTTTCCGTGAAGGGGCAAAACTCTCGCAGATGTTAGGCCCACTGGTCGAGGAACTCCAATGCTACAGTGAATTTCGGAAAGCATGGAGGCAGAAAGTTGCTTATTCCATCACACTTCACGTAAGAACTGCTTCTGGCTGCAACGTGTAGCTATCTTGATAAAAATCCAGCATAAACTTTTCATCAAAATATTTCGGACAAAATATGTTTGGACATCGTTACAGCAACGGTGTTTTAAGAAAGCCTTGACGACGAAGATTGTTCACAAATCAAACTAGGAAGATAAACACAATTCCCATAGATAGATACAACTAGTCAAGTTCCCTGTGTGTAATTTACCGAACTGGTGCGAAAAACTGATAACACGACAGGAAAGCGCACTTTGTTCCATGGCAAGAATATGGGGCAAGTTGCCAAGTTGTTCATATCTGAGGAAGGACAATGGCGCAGCGGGCTCGCACTCTGCTTACTTTGGACGGATTCCAGATACATCTCCGCTGTACAGTGTAGCAAATCTGTGCCGAGCACACAACATGCAGGCCTTGATTCAGACAAGATGGCAACTGTCCCATGCATCAAAAGGGTGCAGCCCAGTAAATAAGCTGCATGCCATAGACAACAATGATAGATATCCCCACTTCAAAAAGCAGGGAAAATACAAGTTTCACAGGTGTTCAAGACACATATCAAATCAAAGATCACTTCCTCATCAGTCGTTTTCCTTTCCATTTTAGTGGCTTAACCGATGACGTTTGAAGATATTACTCCCCCCCCCAGAGAAAATTGCCCCTAAAAATTGCTATGAAGCACATCGCCATTTTAAAATAGAGCGATTTGCAGGTCACCTTTTGGCCCAATACTTTCAGAAGTACAAGCTGGCAGTCCTGCTCCTAGATTCCATCCTCCTTCTCAGACCACCCATGCAGTCCACGTGCCAAGAAATACTCTAATAGCGGAGAATTTGACAGCAACAAAATCGTGATTCGGTCCGCGCAGGCAATTTGGACCATTAATTTAAATGAGCAACGGTGGACCTGCATTCACAACTGTTTATCACTTTTGGTCCTTGAAGAACTACTCCCACGCTGTTTATAAGACCTTTTTTTGGGGGGGGGGATAATGTTCAAATTTCCACATTAAGTGAGCAAATCAATGATGTCCGATCTTTCGTTAAAAGTCTTACTCTCGTAACCTTTGACATAAAGTTGCAAAAATTCTGGTATACTTTGATATCTGTTTATTGGTTTTTACTTGATATAGGGGCCTATTTCCCTGTTTTCAAACTGACTGTTCGGAGGTTCTGGCGACGGTTCTCTCTTATAGGCTTGGTTTCGTTCTTCGTCCGGAATGACGCACAGTCGATAAAAACACCAAACTATTTGCCCACTATCTTAAGTTTTGCTCAGGCACAGTAAGCTAAACACCAATTCGACCGACGTGCAGCCTTGAAAATATTTTCCAAACACACCGGTAATGAACGACAAAAAATGATGAATAAAGGAGCAGTTTATCGTAAAGTCGTTATCATCATAAGTAAATAATGGCACACAAGAGGCATTTAAAAGAAACTTCGGAAGTAAAAATGTGATAAAACGGCAATGTCATGCGTCGTGGTTTAGCTTATATCCTTTTTATATTCCTATCCGAACAAGACTAGGTTCCATGTCGAAACCCTTTCATAAGTGCACCCTCTGTAATTCAGTCTGACAGCTGCAAAGGTAAGGGGGAGTAAACCTTGAGCTAAAAACGGCTGCGGTGGGCGTCTAAGAGTACAACACGCTTGAGGGGATCTCGCGCCAACAGGTGACTAAATGAATAATACCAACACTTGTTTGCACGCATCACCAGCCGTCTTTTCGCCGAGCTGGGTTGCAAGTTGCATACGGCACGCACTTTACGGCATGCCTAGTCAAGTAACTAAAGCGATTCTAAATTCAGTTTTTTCCCCGTCAAATAACAGTTTAAAGAGCTAATCAAATATCCGTGTCGGGATATTCTTTTTGGGGGCTTCGTTTTACAGTTTTCGGTTATGTGGCGTATGAATAGAGTTGGAGTGTCAAATTTTACACCGTACTTTCTCTTTCCGTGCATCCATTCAACAGGTACCACAGCTTGAAACTCACCGCACACGAACACCACAAGCACACACGGAAATGCGTCACGATCAACAGAACTGGACGAACCAGGAATAACAGAATTCTACCCCCGACGTTAGTGCTCAGAAAGACCTACAGTTCTCCACCCGCAGTGTTGCGCACGAGATACAAGAGTTCACGGGCGGGTTATCCCCAATATCCACCGCATTTGATATTCACCATTAATTTTGATATCCACAAACATTATACCTGCTATGCGTACGTGCGTCATCTTTTTCCCCCAAGATTCACTTCTCTTTCGGTTTCGCTGCAGTGCGAAAAAACGCTTGAAGGTTTAACGTGGGGCCTATAACAATACATTCACCGCGTGGAATCGAAAATTTTCACCTGTCACCTCACGAAATTGTTCTTACCATTGCCTGAATGAATTATTTGTTTTATAGAATACCTGCACAAATCCTCTTCTGTAATGGGAGAACAAAATGCCGCTCGCGCACGTCCGCCACTTTGCGAAACAGATTCGTGTCCGAGGCGCTTTCCACTGGTAGCACCAAGCAATGTTAGACTGGTTCCGTCCCTACATAATTTTCCTCTTTCTTATTGGGGAGGAGATATATGAAATGGGGGCGGGAATCGGTCAAGTGAACTGAAGTTCTATTCAACGGGTACCATTGAATAGAACGAATAATTCAATGACATGTGGCCAACGATCCACCAATCAGATGACGGAGATTTATGCAGGTATTGTATATACGCCTATACACGAATACGTCTAAACAGTATCTACATGTATATTGAGAAGCAATGCTTGCATTAGTTCATAAAACCAGCATGGAGCCAAGGAAAATTAATTCATTCTCATCTCTTTTGATAACTACCATTTACACATGGCAGCTGTTGTTTCCGTCCTTCACAGCCCTTGCAATGCATCCGGTAAACATATTTTTAATGTGCAGCGGCAAATTATAAGGGTACCGTTCTGATTCAATCATGCACCCACGGCTGCCGTACAGATTTCTAGGAAGGCCAGTCGAGCAGAACCTATGTCTTATGGGTATTAAAGCGTGAGCGGTTCCGGTTTGATGTCCCTCATAATGTCACCAACAACTACCTGGAAAATCAGATTTTGATAATATTTGTCATGCACTATTATGAATATACTTTTAAAAAAATTATTATGGATTTTTTTTAATTTGCTAATGAGTTCAATGAAAGTTGTTGTTTTTTTTTCGAAATTAGACACAGCAGAAACACAGGGACATAAAAGCTGCAAAGACTAATCTAAACCCCACTACAGTTGCCCAAATGGTAAATGATTATGATCTCCTTTCACAAACATGTAATGCTTTACCGTCTCTCAATATTGCGCAGATTCCATTATGCTCGTATGTAGATAATGATGACCAAGTGGTACCGTTTATTACAGAGTGCATTTAGTTTGTTTACTTCCTCAGTGTTAGTAATTATGAAATCAGTCCATTATTATCACTATCTTCGACCCACGATCGCCAAAATGTAAGCATCCGGACTCAGTGCTGCCTGCGAAATATGGGTTGTTAACTTGCACGTTGAACAAAGATCGCGGCAACTATAATATTTCACATGTAAATCACGATTTCGACTACAGTATTCGAGTCCAAAGTCTTTTGTTGCGAGAGAGATTCCATGGAGATTACACGCGACAAATCAAGTTCAGCAACCCTTCTGAAGTAATCAATACACTATTACGCACGATGACAACGCAGTGAATCACGGAAAGCCTGTGCGTTTACACCTGATTAGTAATAATAAGCTGATGCAACGTGTACCCCCTCCCGAGAAAAATGATGTCGCCCTCGCCCGTGTCGACTAGGCTAATTTAATATCAAGGTTTCGGTGGTGGAATGCGCTCTGGAATGCTTACAGGCAGGTGACTAAGCCACGCCTACTCTGCATATAATAAGAAGGACTTCCGAGAAACTGCGGCGTGAGTAATCCAAATGGAGCGACAGCGCGCTATGACTACTCCGCTGAATGTAGCGCTATATGTAGTGCGAGCTTTATGTATAGCGACCGTGAAAATCTTTTTTCTGCGGTCAAAGTCACCGTGAAATGGGTCAATTCAGTAGTTTAACAGGCCGTCATAACCGGGTCAGGGCCAGGGTTAAAACTACTGCTTTTTGACCGGACGGCCGAAAGCACATTTAATGGGACATTTTCTAAATATTATGCGACAGTCTCAATAAATCTACTTAAGTCTCTTTTACGTCCCCCACAGCGATAATCCATTTTTTCTGGAGTTGTATGACTCCAACTGTTATGCACTTCAAGAATGATGCAAAAGAAGATTCGATTCGCATGAACAACATGAAACCTAAAACCTTCGCTCAACATAATTTTAAATCTTAAGGTGCATTCCATTTAGCTTATTGACTTGAGGAAAGTTAAACCAAACTGCATTTTGGAATTACTATCGCCGATTTTGCAAATTCACGGACTTACCCTTCCTATTTCTCTGTCGAAGTCGACGTACTCTCTCGTGGGTAACCGTTCCGTTTTGCCGTTTTCATTGTGACTATTTGGAGGGAGAAAGTGAAGGTGGAGATTTGTTCCGGTGGAAGAAAAAGCCTGAAGAGTGAAACAAAATAATAAATCATGAACGGCAAAGTCGTGAACAGCAGACGCCAACTTAACATTTAGAGCCTATGTACTTTACTGCAATGCTACACACAAAACGAACTGTCTTCTGAACTTAAGAATCACATTTGTCCTTAACCATGCATGTGACATATTGGAGACCTTGGAAAAAATACTGCGTTTCAACAGTTCATTTTCTTTCTATTGTGGTCACTAAAATTTCGGCCAGAAGCGACAGTAAACAGTTCCGGAGTTGACCATTAAATCAGCGGTACATGGTTGAGGTTTCACAGAGCAAGACTGATAAAGCTTTTTTATTCATATACGTTCATTCATGGGGCTATTTCACCTGTCCTTTTTATCTCTCGAGTTGTGCTTTAAGTTGGCCAATTAAAAAGCACAGTACGATTTCAATTCATGATCAAAGGTCACTCGGTTTAATAGGGCGCGGGGTTCAGTGGTACTGGTTTCCCTTTCAAAATATGGAAGGAAACTCGAAGAGTATGGGAATACCCAGGACTATATTGAAACTCAAGAGTAAATCCTACAAGCTGTAACTATGGACGAGAATTGAAATGAATCCGACCAAGCACCAAGTGAAGGACTTGGACGGTACAACTACCATAAGCACTTGGGAAAACTTAATACATGTACTTGGTCGCAGTGTTAGTTGTCCGACAGAAACGTCTGGTCAAGAGTCTTCATAACCATAATGTTAGTTCCTCAAGGCAAGCCATTAGACTACACTGACCCGGCCAACTTTCGAAAAGTTACACGTAAGCACAGCCGGTCTATGATGAAGCTTCACCTTTATACCATTTTTATCTCATTCGGGACAAGTCTAACAATAAATCTTAGAACTGAACCAGAAATCTCAAACTTAAGCTGGAGAAATTACTGCGGTTCTTGCCTACTTGACGGAAATTTTGGAGAGGTCTGTTGGCTAAAATCGAAGGTAAAACCATATTTTAGTTTGGTTTGCGTTTTTTTAACACAAGTTCGTCCCAGCACACATTAAATTTGCTAGCAGCAGTGTAAAGTTATGTTCGAAGAGATAAAAAAACCGGAAACAAGGAGAAAATAAAATCAAGCTCATCGCAACAGCGCTGCAATGCTCATTGCACAGATACAATTTCTTCATCAAATTACCTTGATTGGCGTTATAAATGAGCTTAAAATGTGTCTCATTACATTTCTGAAGAAAAACTGGCACGGGTGGAGGCAGTAATCGTGAAAAAGGTAGCAAGCGTGGGCTTGTCAAAGTGGTCCAGAAATTCTGCCAGGTGGAATTTCCTAACAAGACAACTCTTTGTTGTATCCCTACCACCACCGGACTGATTTGCAACAACAAACACCCCTTGAAACACACAGGAGGCCTTCACCCGAGCGAGAGGTTAAAACACCCGTCCTTGACAATGTTTGCTCCACGCGGCCTTCATGTGGCAGCGTTCATGGTGACTGTGGAACCGAGCAGTTGGCGTGACTTGCTCGTACAGTCCTGCGCTTGGTGTGAATTTAGCCAACAGTTTGAGGTTCGGTCGGAATGGAGACATAATAAACACTGAATTTCGGACAACTAAAAAGGGCCAATGTTGCGATTGTGGGGAAAATCCCCTCAAGTTACACAATCCGTGCAGTGGCACCGTCAGTATAGTTTCAGATTCCTGACAAATTTCAACCAGCATTTTATGCCATCTTAAAACAGGTCCATAATGAAAATGACACCTATTAAGTACCTTAAACTTCTTTATTATTTTAGTCAGAACCTTTTCACCAACACCTCCCATATGTCCCCCGAATCCAGCCCCTTGCAAGAAACATGAAATGGCACCGTTTTTTTACGTCTGGCTACCAAGACCCAGATCGGGTTGCAAAGTCTTCCAAACACTTCTGGTGGATTTTGAAGGATCTGAAGCTGAAAGAACTGGGGTCGATTAAGGATCAACACTTAAGGGGGGGGGCGAGTAAATGTTGAACTACTATAGCTTAACTTACAAGCTCCGCATGGCCCTCACGACATCCTGCCTGGAAACGGACTTGACGTTCTTCGTGTGACCGGTCACGGAACCCTGTGTATTTGATCTGCAAAAAAACATTATCAAGATATCACCATCAGAAACTTAACTCATATCTAACAAAGGGAAGTTATGGGATCGGTTGATAGGATGTTTCAATAGGCCTCCACAGAAGAAATATCTCTTAGGACAAACACTACTGCCAGCAATAGAGGGCATGCATGCATGCCCTCACAGGGGACATGTTTTGTTATTTAGATTTGGATGACAATCAAGTACTGCAGTGTCTACTCAAGCATATCATATAGAAACAAAGACCTATCCTCTGTGAGGGCGCTCCACGCAGGTCTTCTATGAGAGTTCCCTGTTGCCCTTTAAAAATAAGAAATTCTTGCGACTTGAACTTCCTCGGTGGTTCAGGAAGTTTCAGGCCTAGCATTTATTCCACCGTTCTCCTTGGAACAAACATGCAGATGGGGGTAGACCGAGTGATCAGGACCAAGGCCTGTCCTCTGCTTCTGCTTCTGTCTGTACACAACGCCCTGCTATACTGGGCTATCCCGGTACAGGTTTCGCCCAATGTCAAAAAAGGGAAGAAGCAATCTGTAAGGGTCTTAGTTACTCCATGGTTACTCGGACTAGGGATGAGGCGGCGGCCAAGTGGTTGGTCAAAGTAGTAAAGTTGGACGACAGATACGGACATCATGGATTCCTCCATGCTGATACGATCGCCTATCAACACATGTCCATTGCCAGTGCCACCAACACCATGCCGACCTTTTGTGACTACCATTACGCAATCGCTTTTGTATGTGCTGGGATCTACAATAAAAGCGAAAGAGATACCGCCATGCACGTGCGAACATTACGACATCGGGAGGACTTCATTACAGGTGCAATAGGCACATGTCAGTTTACATGCGCATGCGGCAATGCAGCACACCGAGAAATGAATACACGATACGTACACTTATCCAGTATCACACGTTGAAGTGCTGCTTGTAATTTGGTTTGACCCCAACTATAATGAGCAGTCTTTGCGGTTAATATCCCCACTTCCGGGGTTGTCCCGATTGTGCCCCAACTCGCCCATGCTCACCCGGTCGCGAAAGAAAGAAACTTTTTAAAAACGCAAACAAGCTTACCTCGGACTCGCGTCCAAGTTTTCTGAAGAGTTCGTCGTTCTCGAATTTAGCTCTCTGGTCGGGTACTACCCTCGGCATGTTGACGGCTTGTCGTGGTTATATTCCACTACGCGATTACAAGAAAGACGTAAACTTTGAAGCTAGTAGTGGAGTGTGTATTATTCCAATAGTAAACACGCAGTGCTAAAACGTCGTGTCGATAACACCATTCCGCGGTCACCAAATGACAATACACAGTACCAGCGCTGCTAGCTCGACACACTGCTAATGTGTAGGCGCTGCGTCACACACACTCAGAGGCTACGTGATGACGTATCACAGGCCATTCATGCATATAGTGCCGGAAATTTCTAATGAGCCCGCCCACATCCACGGCCTCACGGACAGGTCCGGCGCTGCTATTGGTCAGCCGGCTGCAACGTCACTTCCTCGCAGAACCATTCCAGTTAAAGCATGGGGGTGGTAGTGGTAGCAACGGAGGGTGGAAGCGCAAACAGGAAATTCTCGGAATCGCATCGGAGGGAATGGGAAGCGCGTAGGTGTTCTGAAACCTTGCCGCACGGTGCTTCTTTCTTCCGATACGCCGTGCTAATGTCACAATTTCATTTCTAAGGAACAACTGTGTCAAATATGAACTTTGACACAAATAACAATTTTTAGGGCGGTATTTTTAAGACCAAAACATGTATATCCAAGGAACCCACCCACAAAATTCTTGAAATTGGGTTTGTTTTACAAAGAATTAAGCAGGTGTTTTGCACGAGATGCAAAAGGCGGAACGGCTAGTAAAAAGGTCATTATTGACATTAATGTGTTTTTTAAGGTCGCAATTGAAAGCATACTGTTACTTGGAGTTAAAATGTCACCTGACATGGGGGTGTTTACGAGACAAAAGGAAAAAACCAACAAAACAAAAAATGATAGCCGCCATTTTATTTCATTGTTTTTAATCAGTGAATGTTAATTTCTTTTTGTCTGTACAAATTCCAGCAACATGTTTCCCCGGTGAAGGACGGAGCATCTGTCGAAAACAGTCCAACGGGACAAGACTTCAGTGGAAAAGTCATCGGGAGTGTCAGTCGGTACGGGAATAGGGGTAGACTAGACTGATATCGTCGATAAACAAAGGGAAGCATTTCGACATTTCATCGATTTGCTCACATCCTTAGGGCGTGTGCCTTGTTTGATGAGTATGCCCACGGCATGTATCCTCGTATACTTCGGCATCGAGAACACAACGATAATAGAGAAAACCTTATTAAAGATACAAAACGTGAAACGAAAACCCGTTTCATAAAAATTGTAATTTCTTTAACGATCCCTATTAAATCATTAACTCTTGAAAATGCAAAAAAAATTTCCATTGCGTAAAATATTTTCAAGGCTGATTCAATACTCCATTCTGCGGTAAATTCAGTGGGTGTAAAAGTGGATTTCGATAATTGTTTTGCACACGATGCGGCTGCCTGGGGAGACTGATATTATACTTGGTAGAAATTTTGGCGTTCGTGAAAAAATCTGCACGGGTTTCCTCCATTTCTGCCTGCTTACAATATTTGACGAAAAATAGTCTTAACTTTGCACTTGCCGTTCTTCCAAAGATTCATCGTGTGATAAGCACAAATCTTATTGCAGCTAGATGTGCCAATTTAAAACTTCCGAACTTTGTTTTCACTGTCTCGCTGAATTTTCCAACTAATAGTAATGCATACATTGCCTTTATATAAAAAAATCAGTTTGGCAAATTTTTTTTTTGGGGGGGGGTGGCTCTCCGACAAAATAGACGCACGTCTTTGAGACGCCCCTTTCCTTTCCCAGTGTGCATCAAATACGCACCTAAACACGTTTGATTACTTTTATAATGAATCCTAGTTCCTCTACTGCTTCCATCTCTTTTGTTGCCCCAGAAAAATAGCTAACTCGTAATATTCTTATTCTGTCCTGTTTCCGTTCATTTGCCTCTGATGGTTGGACTGCTGACTTTGTACGAGAAAGAGAGTAACTACATGTCCCACTGTAATACGACAGTTTTCATTATCCTTAGGGATACGCTTGAGTTTACTTGACTGAAAGTCGGAGGACCCAGTGGTTAGGATTTATGACTCATGATCGGAGGGGGACGGGATCGAATCCAGCTGCTGGCCAGTAGTTGTAGCCTCGGTATAAATGGGTAACAGCACTGGGAAGTAAGTAACCTGCCATGGGATGGCATCCCCTCCAGGGAGGGGGGGGGGTAGGCGTATACTCAGTCTTCAGTCTTGTCATGAAATTTGAGATGAACATCGACTTGATGAGGCCGAAATTGCTTTAAACAGTCTTGCTTTTAACTCGACTTTAGTCTGCTAGCCACCCTGTCTCCCCTTCACCCTAGAACTGCCATTGCTTGTCTCCATTCCCCACAATTAGACTCCTTTCAAGCTGTAACAGTGTGAAAGTTCAGGACTCCAGAAGTCCACTCGGCAACACTGTCTAAATTAGAACAGTGGAACAACATTGGGAACACAGAGGGCTCTCACAAATCATTTTGCACTGAGCTATAATATTTGACACAACAACTATAAAATTATGCAGTATAAATAATTTGCAAATGACTAAATGAGGTTTTCATCAAGCAAAGATTTCTGGCCTTCCAACAAACAAATTGTGAAAACAAGAACTGAAGTCTCCTGACGACGGACAGAGCATACTGTCCGAAATGTTGAGCACTATCGGTTCTTTTCAGAACCCTACAGACTTAAAAAGAGATGAATCCATGGTGCTACCCCAAACCTATCTAGTTTACTTGCTACTTCCACCATGAAAACCTTCAAATCTCATAAGACACTGATGGGTCACAGAACATCTTCTGTAGTACATTGGTGTGATGTTATTGCAACTGGCACCGTGCCCACTTACACCGTGTGGTCATAAAAACTGTCTCAACTGGAAGTAATGCACAGTCCTGGAAGTATTTAGCTCATGGGTGTTCATAATCAGTACACTGGGCATGTGTATAACAAAGTAGCTAATGAACGTAGACACTATGAACCAATCTCTCCACTTTAAGGTCACATCAGACTAGCATGGCTATGGCTGATAACAAGGCACAAGTCTATGAGAAACGGCTGCAGCCATTAGGTAGGGCTTCGATAGAAGCATGTATTATCTCCAGCCAAAGCCAAGTGATTTGGACACAGACTTAGCATTCTTGACACACTCTTTGTTCAGGGACTGAGTCAATATCCCTCAGTCTCTGCATTTCCAACTGGGTCTGTTACTATCTCCTACCCGTCGTGGGCAGTTTGGACAAAACAATGTCTCTGCCTGTAACAGCGTGTCAGTCGCACTGAAAATCACAACTTTCTGAACACATCATGATTCTTCTTAAGTACTGTGAAATTTGCCTCTGTGACCGAGGCCAAAGGTCACGGTAGTGAAGAGCCGAGCCAGGACCAACAGTAGCATGACGAAGATGATCATGCACATGACGATCACGTAGTGGCTGATGCTGGTCCCGATGTCCAGCCAGCTCCCCGAATCCCTGACCAGGAAGAAGAACTGAAGCGCCAGGCCATCCGACAAGAGAAGCACCACCAGGAAGAGGCTGGTGTTCGGCAACCGCAGCAGTATGTGGATGGCCTTGAAGGTGCAGGTTACCAGCAGAAACAGGATTACAATCTGTGGATTAAGACAACTGAATGGATTAAGTGGATTAAAATTCGTACAAAAAGTGTTCAACCAAAATGCGTTTCGTGGGCAATTTTTTTGCATCAACATAAAGATACATTTCCCGACTGAATTTTGCAGAAGTTGATGTTCTGGATATCGTCTGAGAAATTCTGGAGGAGTTTAAAACTCACCTTCCACAAGAGAAGTGAACCCATTATGAAAGGACTGAAAACAGTCAAGAAACAGTACACAGATGCTGGATCAAAACTGCGAAGACAACAAATTGGGGTTGGGGTGTCAGGTTCAAGAGAACATGGCAAATGAGATGTAAGAGGGTCGAAGTAAAAATATCTGGCCACAATGTTTTTATCAAAACCTGTTTTATTTCTTCTGTCAGGTACAGGTCTGGATGGATGGGACACAAGGTGAACTTGACACATTGGGGTAAGCTTACTTTAACCCTAACAGTCCTCAGTCCTCCAACAGGTGAAGGATTGAGGAGTGTTAGGGTTAAGAATCTGATTTTCAGATCTGATTTTTGACGATTTCTATTTCTACACTCTTTTGGAAAATGTGGCTCAAGAGGGGTAGCATTTTTTTCCCAAACTGCAAAAGTTTTTTTCAGAAAATCTTACAAGAAAAAAAAACCAACCAAATCTTAACAAAAACACATCTCCTTTTGTTAAAGCTTACCTGTTTATGCTGGCAATATTTCCTGTGCCAAAGAAGGCGGTGAGGATGAAGAAGATGAAGAAGTAAGCACAGCGGAGGTCATCGAGGACCAAGCGTCTCTGAGGTCCTCTCAAGAGGGTCCACTCCTCACCAAACGAAAGATCTCTAAGCTGATGTGAAAAACCAGACAAGAACTTCTCTCCCAAAACTTGCATTTCTAAGTATCATGCCCGCTGTGCTTTGAACGGTCACACGAATTTCCTCTACCTAAAGTAGTGTTTCCATTTTAGCTTGAAGGAGAATGAAAGTTGGCATGTACATCGTCCACAAGAGAGTGTCTCGACAGATGCTGTGCGGGGATGCTCAGGGCCGTGCTAATTGACCAAGAGCTCCTGGGAGCACATATCCAACATAGTGCTCTACAAAAGGCCCCTGAAACCATCTGACAAGATTGTCAACATTCAACTGAGGCTAGCTGGCCACTGCCTGATACACAGGAAGCCATCAAATAGTGCTCTGGGAGCCAAGGTATGGTCACCATAGTAGAGAGCGACCCTCTGCTACTGTCAACAACATGCTATGTAGGGACAACGGAACTGACAGGCACGTTGAAATTAGATCACTGATGGAGGGCCACGCAGCCAGGATATCCATGGCTAATACTCAGCTGAGGAACGCCATGACTGATAATATATGTGATGCGATCTGCGAAAACCCTTCACATGGTGTGCTTTGTCACGTGGGTGCACATAAACTTCCAATTAATATGGACACGCACTTGTTTTCAGATGTATTCTATTCGTGATTCTGTCTTGTCTACAACATGAATCTAGGTTGTCTAGAATCACAGTTTTGCTTTGAACACAAGGCAGGGTCCAGATCAATTTGAAATTGATATGCACCAAAATGAAAGAGCTCACCATGTGAACGGTTTTCGCAGATCACATCACATACAGGATCATGCCAACAGAAGCTTCACAATTAAAAAAGGTACTTTTAGTCAAATTGGTCAGGATGAAAGTAGCAAATATCACTTGTGGTTCATGTGATAATGCTCCCTGAGTCTTAGATTGGAGTCAGAAAGTGACAAGCAGATCAAGGTAGTTTCTTTCCTTGAAGAACGTACATACTGAGTCTGTGTGAGGTCAAAAGTTTATTATGACCATATTGTCCTACGAAAATTATTCCAAATTAGACTGAGTCGGTGCCCTCACTTGAAGGGCTGCCGGGTGCGAGTTATTATTTGTTGACTGCCACTGCATTTCAAAATGATTCTGACAGAGAGTTCTTTGCACACCAGAAAGTGTCATGTCACTTTTAAAATTCGTCGTGTGCCCGGCAGAAGGGCGTAAGCGCTTAGGCCCTTTTGCCGGGAAGCATAATCACTGCAAAAAAACTTTTCCCGGCGAAAGGACAAAAGTATGCAACTACTGTATTTTAATGAAATATGAAGATTTCTTAACAAAAAGTAAAAAAAAAATGCCCAAGCCATTTAATAAGTTGTTCAAAGGTTGCTTTTTGTACAGCCCAGGTTGATTTTATAGTAAATTATATCCATTTTTACTAAATAAAGAGAGTGTGTTTCTTACGCCCTTTTGCCGGGAACATTTTTTCTGTTGTGATCATGCTTCCCGGCGAAAGGGCGAAAGTGCGCTTATGCCCTTCTGCCGGGCACCCGACGAATTGATATGACTTACCTTGACATTTGCAGAATGTGACAACCTGTGCTCGCACAGAAGCCAGAAAAACATAAGGTAGCACAGAGCTAAACAAAACAACCCTTCATGTCTGGGTGCAGAAAATTTGTAAGGGAAATGCGCAAAATAATCCTGATGAGGCTGGAAAGGGGGCGATAAGGTGGCTCTTACAAATATTGGCAAGCTCTGCAGTTCTCTTTCAAGAAGTTAAATTTGTTCAAGGAAGTTTGGGCCTATTCCTTCAAGAATTTGTTCTTGCTAACACAAGTAACCAAACTGGAAAAAAAGGCATCAACACTACTCGGAAAGAGCCTTTGTTGGTCTTTCATTGTTTAAATTTGTATCATTCAGAAATAAACACAAAAATAGGACTTCTCCATTTCTTGACTGAATGTAACCATTGTGAAAAGGATACGATGTACTAGTTAGTAAAAAGACAGCAGCAAAAGCCATGGCCGTGCTCAACAATCGTGAAACTACTTCCACGGACGTTAACCCGGGTATAAGAAATGAGGAGCCGAATGTGGCCCAACTCAGGCACTGGTTGACGAGAGGGAGCCCCCGCTTGCTGCCCAGGCTGGCCCAGGTGCTCTTGACGACGTAGATGGAGAGGACCAAGATGACCAGTTGAAGGGGACCAATGGCGGAATGGACTGGGTTCGTCAGGGGGTGGCGGTGGGTGCGGAGGTAGAGAAGGGCACCCAGGCTGCTCAGGAGGAATAGGACACCCGCCAACGTTCTGGATATTTGAAAAAAAAAACCAACAGCTTTTTGTGGTGTGGTCTATGCTTGTATGATTACTTGTAGATATTTTAATTTTCTGGTGATGACTTGGTTTGGATTTGAGGTGGACCCTTTGATGATGGTATATTCTATGAAGTGTCTACTCAGAGAACATGCCACCACTAGAGGGTGTACTCTTTTGGTGTTTTTAAAATTTCATTCGTGTATTTTAAGACTCGATGGAACAAGTTAATTTTCAATGGTATCTACTTCATACATTTTGCACTACCAGATAAACTTGCCTTATGGACATAGAAACATGGCTCACTCAGAAGTTTGGACGGACAAGAACAACACAGGCAGGTAAACAGACAACTCAACCAATCAAGGAGACACGCAATACAGATATGCAGAAATATAAACAGCTGTGATACGACATTGTTACTCACACTAAGTTGATATTTGCATCCCTGCCAACCACTGGGAGTAAAGGGAAGACAGCCACAGCTAAACAGGATACCGTCCAACCGGCGACGAAACCCTACAAAGAGGTAACCACATCAGACAGCAATAGAGTGAAACTGAAAGGCTGAAAATCGGGAGTAGTTCTGACAGCGGCACAAACCTTATTGAGGTGCCTGAGTTCGGTGAAGAAAGGCCACAGCGCGATGGCCACAAGACCCAAGGAGAGCACCTCCCTCCAAAACATGCTCAAGACAACAATCTCCATGGCGATGACACCCAGCATCAAGTAGCCAATCAGCTTGCAGAATCCAACGACGGAGACAATGTGACTGACCGCTTGATAGAATATACTGTATCTACCAAATTAGAATTGAAAAATAGGCATTTACTAAAACTCCATCATCTTTTCTGTTACGAATTCTGAGAGCAGCTCCGACAATTAACCACTTCCTGCCAGGGACTCCAGGATCAGAGACGTATGGTTTATATGCGTGGCCGGGGTCTCCGAACTCGGACAAAGGAAACAAGGCCCTGTAACAAAAGACCGTACTCCGAACAAAAGACCAGGCTGCTGGGCATTAGCAACATTTTTCACTCTCAAAAGTGGTGATAATCCAGCCTTGTTTTGAAACCCTATACCAGGCTTTGGGGCATTGAGAGCAAGCGGATTACCACCGGGGACAAAAGCGCTCCACCACCGCAGCGATGAGCCACACAGCACCGCTGCACGCTAATCTGGCCCCTATTGAAAAGAGGACAGCAGTGCACTGAGCCAGGTTCGCTAACAAAAGACAGTTATATAACACCGCACAATCTGGGCTCTGTTTACAAGGCTGCAGGCCTGGCTGAAATACTCGGGCGTCAATGAAGGTCACCTATCAACTTAGAATAGTGCTGGAAGATTACTTCGTGAGGCTATAAACGACCGTTAAATGAAATGATGAATTTTTGAAGCATTTTGAAAACGAAAAAAATGATAGTCATGCCGGCCCAGCATCATCAACATTGGAAAATGCCCTGGCATGAAGTGGTTAATGCTAGCAATAAAGAAACTAAAATATTCACTAGTCTTGATACAAATTTGGACTTACTGTTTTACAGCGGTGTACCACAGAGGAACAGGTAGCAAACAGTACACATAATACATCGCTGGTGAGGACTGGATTGTTAGTAGAGAGACTACAACCAGACCGAGGGCGGTGAAGACAATGTCCAGCCCCCACTTGACAAGAAAACCAGAGGCTGTGAGGCCGTCGAGCTTGGTCCATCTCGGCTTGGGGATGGATGTGTGGAAGTTGAGGAGGTGTTGGAGGATGTAGGCCATCCAGCCCAGGTAACCCATTAAGATGCTGGTCCTGCAGGATGGAGGCTGGCAAGTTAGGGGTCTAACTGGGGACTGAAGCCAAGTTTGTGAAGCTGCTTACAGGAATACGGATCTGCTCAGCATGATTTGCTCAGCAACAAAAGGTTTATCGGTCAGTGTATCACAAAACCTACATTGACTGCGATTGGTTCCCTGCATGCTGCTTAGCAAAGAAAAATTGCCGAGTGCAATTTCCAGTTACAGATCCAAACAGCTGTGTTAGGTTGAACAATGGTTTTTCTATAAGTGTGGGTTTTTTGGGGGGGGGCAGGGGCGTCACTATTACTCAATCATCAAGGATTTCAGAACACAATGGACTTTGCACATGAACTATTAACATTGTTGGTGGGGGGCTACTCATGGACAGACACACAGCTTCTGTACAATGATTCACAGGCATTGTTGGCACTGAGAGTGAGTTCCCAATTTTCCACGGAATGGGTACAATTCCACTGTATGGTTGCTAATGTTAAGCCTAAACATCTAGTATGATCTGCATTCTTACTGATGAGCTCCAACCTGTGCACAGCATCTATCAGTGTTTCCAATTTGAAGGACTACTGCAAAATAAAGTTGACCTTGATCTTACCCCAACAGGAATCTATCATAGTTGTGGTAGTACTTTAAACCATCCAAAGCCCTTTGGATCAGATCATGTGTTGTAGATATCTGAAAGGGGAGAAATTCACATTGGATTTTACTGAGAGAGGTTGATGACATTGATAAGATCTATCACTATATGAGCCTAATATATACAGGGAAGAAATACCTAACACTAAACCTCCATTAATACTTGGGAGTACAAACCGTTTGAACAAAAAGGATAAAATCCTGCAGGCCAACAATTCCCAAGACGCCACCACATCACAATAGGTCATACACGGCAGCCAAGTTGAGTTTATCAAAAGGTCTACCTCCACAGAATTGTCGGAGCTTGTGTGTTTGTTTTGACATCAGCCAAGGTGATTAAGACAGACTGGACATGTCATCTCTGTGCACAGACAGAGAGATCGCATTTACACCTCATGGTGTAAAGTGGTAAACAGTGTCCTTACAGTGGCCTAAATTGATGGGAGCCTGCCGAGTTACTCACAGCATTATCAGTTTGGCCTTTACTGATCTGAGCTTGGATGGTACGCAGGATGTCAGCCTTCTGTCCAGCAGACAGAGGTTTAAAGGGACTGAAGAACAAGGCCAACGTCGTCTCCTGCATGTGCTTCTCCTTTACCTTTAAAAAGAGGAAATACCAAGGCCAGTCAATGCAGAGCTTTAAAACCTTTCAAAGAACAAAATGTAACTATTAATTGAATTAGACAGTATCTTGTGACCGAAATAAGTCTCTTGAACCCTGGTTGGTGATAGGTGTAATTTATATGCTTTCGTTCAATTTTCTGAACACTTTTCTTAGAAGCCAAAAAGTTTGGAAAGGATATGTTCACAAGGGACAAGCATCTGGACTGGTAGGCTGAGGGACATCGGTTTGAGTCCCACCTGAGGATATTGAGGAGTTCCTTCTCATAATCTCTCACAAGGCACATTGCATACAATGCGGATGACATTACCAAATGTGACCTGCTCTGGGGAGACGAGTCACAAGTCGCCATATTGGCCACTTTTAGGCGACAGGCCTTCAACTCCAAGTCACATTATGAAAAACACTCATTTTATAATTTGACGCCCCAAAAAGAAATTTTAAAAAGGGTCATTTGAACAAAAACAAACCTCATACTGGGCCAGTATCTGCCGTGCATTGGTCAGCAAGCTCTCTGCCTTGTAGTGTCCTGTATTGTCAAGGAAACCCAGGGGGAGCAAACCCACCGAATTCAGCGGGAACGGTGTGCCGATCAATGATGCCATCAGAGAAGCGATGTCCGCCTGGTTGATGTCCTGACGCTTGAGGTGGTCCAACTTCCACACTGGCAAAGAAGCAAGTTTGATCAAGGTCAAAGGTTAACCACATTTCTCATAACTAACTACCAAGAAAAAGTTTGTCAACAATGACTGGCCTTGTTTAATAGTGGACAATAGTGAACCAACCTGCTTGGGTTGGTAGCATTGCTGGTTGTTGATTACTGCAAAGAAGAATGACCACAGAGCTCATTCACACTTTGATATCAGCCTGAAAGCGCAGAATATGTCAGAAATGAACTACTCCTCGTCCAATGGTTCTTACGAACTTGCTGGACCGGACAACTCCCAATTTAGAAAGCAGACATAATGGCGAAAGATTAATTCACACGGGACTTCCTTTTGTTTCAAACTTGTTCTCAGTGGAAAATGGCATTATTCCCGTTGCAACTTCTGTAATTTGGTTGAGAATCTTCTGACCGTTGGGTCATACGGGTTACTGACTACAAAAGATCACCAGATCCCTGACTACCTACACTGAGAAAAACCATCGGAATACTCCTCGGCGTTGCCTGGCGTAGAGGGTTTGTTCACCCCAGCACCCCAGGCCACAATCGGGGTCAGAGTTTCATGTGGATGACCGGCACCGTGGGAACCTGCAGTTGTGTAACAGAATGATAAACGGTCGAGAGGGGCACATCACTGGACAATGTTGCCAACTGAAGGAGCACAGGTTTATGTTACTTGAAGAAAGGCTGCCTTTCGACAATCGTGAAAGGGTCGTTGTTTTATGAACTTAGAACACAAGAACTGCAAGGGACTACTGTGGGATCGTTACACCTAATACTCAACTTGCTTTCAAAATGTTGGTGAAAAATAGCAATCTATTTGTATGAAATTGTAGTTCCTCATGAAGATACTGGCTGCATCCAATGCTGTTGTTTTGAGTTAGGTTTAGTCTTTCTCTCCTTTGAAGATATGTGGAAACGCGCTGACAACAGATGTAGTCATAACTCTGGAATTTGTTTCGGACATGGCCAAAGAATGGGTATCTGACAATTGTCTGAAGGTTACGGCTGTGGCTGAAGATTACACACATGTCTATAGAAGTCAGTGGCTAGCCGATGAAGCCACTTCCCATAGACGCTTGCTACACAAAGCCGTAGCCACTCAATTTGTGTGTGGCCTGTGCCTTCAATCTGACCCTAAGTCTTCAATCTGAGATTGATTTAACGGAGCTGCTGAGTACACGGAAAAATGCCTCACTTGGTAGAAAGTATTTACTAGCTAAATACACTTGGATGTAAACTGCTTGTGAATGGTTCACAGGGAAATTTTTGGCAGGGGACAGAAATGTGCCGAGTGAATTTTCTGGCTGAAGAGCTAGGCCCATTTCCCTCCGTTGGAAAACATCACAGAAAACCTTGCCCAGCACAGAAACTGTCTCCTCAGCAAAAACAGGGTACCGGCCAGAAGGCTGTGTTATGCTTACTGCTTGAAACTGGTCCCTGGCTAATGTTTGCTCAGCAGATAAATTTGTTTATGCGATACCCTCTGCTTATCAGCTTTATCTCTTCAAACTCACCCCAGTTTGTCATGCCGTGATCGGCAGTCATCACGTACGCCGTTTTCCCGTCTCCTTCGAAGGCAGACTCTATCAGCTCCACTGCCTCTCGTATTCCAGCATCCACCAACCTGATGTTGGTAAGGTACTCCTCGGAGAACGGCTTGTGTGCGTGGCCGTTTGTGTCAATGCCGAGCAGATGCAGGAAAAGGACAATTCTGTCAGAGGACACCATTTTGCCAAGGGTGTCATTCTGCTTAACATCTTGGACAAATTCCTACGACGGAGAAAAAAAAATAAACATAGGTTGATCACTTAGTACTCTGAGTGGAACAATTTTTCAGTGCCATTTAAGGTGACACCTGCCTGGCTGCCTTACTGGGATCCTGTGTACATGATCTAACCTGAAAACTGGTCACACTTTTCTAATTCACTTTTCTCGCGAAACAGCGCACCACCAAGCAATTTCCCAACGAAAGCCATCTACAACTTCCTAGTCAAAGTTTAATCTATATGACTACATTAATGCGGGGGTATTTCAACAAACAATCAGTAAAGACACATTAAACACAACTTTTCCTGGTTTCAACACCTTAAACTGTTGAACCAAACGGTAGAAAGCCATTATTACCCTACTCAAAAAAGTTGGAACCACTTTTTATTTTGTGTATACTTTTTTATATGAGATATTTTACTGCTGAAAATGTGCATTTGATGTTTTGAAACATTTTAAATTTTAATTCCAATGAGACCACCATCTAGACAAACACAAAACGAAAGAACTAGACCCCACTCATTGCTGGAACAAAATGACAAATTAAGAAAAAAGTGGTCCGAAACTTTTTTGAGTAGTGTATTTATAACCGCTCCTCAAATAATAGAGAGATCTGCAGTGCTTGCTACAGTTTACCTTAACTTTGTCGAACACCCACATGTCCAGTCTTGAGGCGTCTTCATCAGCAAAATCCTCGTAGCCGGCCGGATAAGTGTGGGTGAAGACGTGGTTCCCTGTAGCACCTGCCAACAACAGGAAAGATATTCTCAGGCCAGTCAGTCCAGTTATGCCATGGATGGGCGTGAAGTGACGACGATAGTAAAATCTTCGACAGGCGAGGGCACTGGATTATTTTAATACCTTTGGAAAACATGGGCAGTATGTCGGGACTTCCCCAGGACCAGGTGTATCGGCTCTCGTTGAAGACGGAATCAAATTCCACTGGATTTTCCTTCCAACCTGAGAACGTCAAAGAGACAACACAGGTAAGAATCTTAAATGCACAAAGAGAAACAACATTTTCATATCTGCCCTTAGAGACAGAAAGGAAGCGTTCTTGCCTTTTTCAACAAACTTTGGAACAGGAATGATTTCCCCCAAGTATATTTGCCAGGAAGCCTTCCAAATCTATCCCAACTAAGATCAGCACTGTGCAGAGAACCAATGGCACATTCTTTGCATTTAAATCAATCAAATCTCATCAGAACCAAAAATTGGATTTTAGCTTATTTGCAAGACTTTGAGGTCAAGAAACTGACGAAGTTCATTTTCTGGTCATACATTAATCAGGGTGTATGTTTGAGCACAGTATCGCTTCAATGTCTTAATCTGCAGCCAATTTCAAAGAACTACCAAGTACCAAATTCTGTGAAGCACTGACAATACTTGCTTTGGAAAAAAGGTTACCGGCCAAACTGTAGTGTAATTTATATTCTGTGACTGGTTATTCGCTGACTTGGCTAAGCACCAAAGAATAGCTAGGCACTATTTTTCGCTTAGAAGATTTCCAAAATGGAGCCCAAAATTTGGTCAGCAGATTACGCCTAGGCACATGACACGGCTTGCTGTTTTGAACAGGAACATTTTGGTACAGTGTTGTCTGATCACCTTTTGCAACAGCACTGACGTCTTCGTAGAATCCGGCGATGAGGGCGACGTGGCCCGGTCGTGATTCCGTGGGTACTCTCGTATGGGAAACTCCCCACGATCCTTTCTCCTCTATGATGCTCCTGTCAAGAAACAGAAAATAGGGACGAGATGATGGGACACGGAAAAATAACAGTAATTTGGACTCTGGTGTGAAATTTTGGCCATCGGTGTTGTGTGGCTTTCATATTGAACGCAATTGGAAATGAAGACGCTAGCTCCATTAGAATTTAACACAGCGGCAACCACAATCTTAAGTACCTTTCCAAATACGATACATTGTTTTACATTCATTGTGTATATCCATACTTGTTTCACGATATTTCATTACTATACAAACTCAACAGAGATTCCTTGTAAATTTACCCATGCCAACAAACACTGAATTGAATAGGCCTCTGTGGAAAAAGGCAAATATGCAGTATTTGTTGGCAGTGGTGTAGCCAGGATTTTACTAGTGGGGGGTCACAAAGGAGGCACCAGCTTTCAGTGGTGTGGCTTTTGGAAGTAAGTTTTTGTTAGCCTTGTTCAATATCCATTCATCTGGTTTTTTTTTATTGGGGGGCACCTAGGGGACACCAGAAATTTGTGGGGGGGGGCACGTGTCCCCCAGGTCCCCCCCTTGGCTACGCCACTGCTTGTTGGCCGTGTAAGTAACATTTCCTTCACACACCTGCAATTGCTGCATGAGGACTCTACGACACACATGCAAACAGCATAACGTATCCTTCCATGGCTATTGTGAGTGAAAACCACATGTAAAATGGTTTGTATGGTATGCGCCTGTGAAGAAAGGTACACGTCATAAGACTGAAACCTATGTCTAGAAGCCAGATTCAGAGAATCAGTCATAGCCTAAGCACACAGTGCAATAATCTACAATTTCCTGCACGGCGTCCACATTCTGGTGAAATAAGACAACAAGCAGAATTAACTGACGCGTGTGCCAACCTCAGGTATGGCGCCCTCGTGTGACCACTCTCATCCAACTCGTACAGCTTGTCAGCCCTCAGCCCGTCAGCGACGAACAAAACAAGGCGGCGCGCAGGAGGATCCAAGGGGGTAGTGCGGGGCGTCATTCCGTGCACCAGGGGGGAGGTGAAGTAGATGTCAAAGATGGAGTAGAAGAAGACAATATGGACCAAGAGTCCCACGGCAATAAGCCAGACATCCATGGGTGACGATCTTCAGGTGGGAACCAGTTTGAACTAGGATGTATGGACCAGTGCCCTCTGTGGCTTGAAAGACTCACGTCTGTTGAGAACATTTAAAGAAATATGAAACACAAGTTAGCAATCTGGTACCACTCAGCTCACTCCCCTACATATATTTTAATACCATGGGTGTGATTGGCTGATGTGCAAAATGGCCTGATCGCTCTGCGTGATTGGTCGATTCTGAACAAATCTCCAACTTTACTTCCACAGCTATTTTGAAACAATCTTCCATAATCACGAATTACAAAGAAAAGGCGACTGGCTAATGGCAGAATTAGTGACAAATCGTGCAGTGGGATTGACCGATCACGCAAAAATCGAGTAACTGCATACATAAAAAAACTGTGCCCAAACACATGCACATAGATGATTGATAAACAGTACATAAACAAGTCTCAGTCTTTTTCACCAGATTTCACCATGTATAGGGTCATCCATAAACTAAAGTACGCTATGCACAAGATGCTGACATTCTGGACTCCTGGCCCTCCCCATAGATCTCTCTCATTGGATGCCATCTTTGTAGATGCAATGGCATCTGAACGTTTGAAACTCGTGCACGTGCTGATTGAAATATATAGCACGTCATGCAAATTGAAGTTAAAAATGCCGATGCAAGTGGCAATTTGTAGGAAGTGACGTCATTTGAGAGAGACCTAACACGCAAAGCATACACTCTGTTTCCCCCCCCCACTAGTCACTCCCCCCCAATCCATACACAAAGGCATTCTGTTTCTCCTATCGGACTAGTGGTACCACCATGGTAGAACTACTGACTTGGTAAGATCTAAATGATGGGGGAAGTACTAGGCTTATTTTCGTTGTGTAATTAGTCTGGTCCTGATAAAAGATGAGTTCTTACGACAGGCCCCCGCTGAAAAGCAAATTTAAGGCTCTCCGTATCCCCCACGTGCTCCCTTAGGCCATCACAGGTGGCCTGGCTTCCCCTCCTCTCCACATGCTGGACAGCAATGAACCTCCACAATCACAATTACCCTTTTAGTCTAGGGCCTATTTTCCTGGATACAAGCCCAGTGGTGTTAGTCCCCAGTCATGCCGGTACATAAATAATTAAAGGGTACCCTTACGTAGCCGTGTTTCTCGACTGACATGAATCATTTGTGCTGAAAAAGTCGCGACCTCACGATCTCCGATTCCTAACAAGTACTGTCACGTCCATGACGTCCGGCCGCTTGCCCTGCCCATTCCCGTTCGTGCACCACGTGGGCATCGTGCGCTGCATTTGGGACTCGATATTTAGAACTAGGCTTTTGGCAGAGGCTACGGATGGCGATAGGAGCGTTCAGCTTCCCACGAGCCGTAGCCACACCTGAATCCTATACACTTACTATTTGCAATTCGGCTATTATTCTCACTTGGCCAAACACACGGATTTCCCGCGAAACGAAAACAATTCGACAAGCCGTGGCGCGCTTTGACAACTCATGCAAAAGCTAAAGCAACATCAACAGGGCAGAGGAGAAGGTGAATTCGTCAAGCATCCCGTACAAAAATGGGAATACATAACCTAGCTCGATTGATAGCCGATTTTGCACCGGTGGCTATGAAAGATAATGAAATCAAAAATTATTTCGGTAAGTAAAATACTAACAATTTACACACTGTCTGTGAACGCAATTGTATTGCGTGTGACTGTATATGTAGCATGCGAGTAAACTAGTAATTGTGAATCGCTGAAACTTGAAAGCGTAGCCTGAGCGGTAGCTGTATGAAGCTAGGAAACTCGACGAATTGTCTCTCTTAACAGTTTAACATTTAGCATGTTAGACATGGTGGGGCCTACTTGGGGACCCCAGCTTTTTGTCATTTTAATCTTGCAAAACTAAGTAAAACTTGTTAGCCTCCCGGCGCCCCCTAGCCCTGGTGGACTCCCTGACCGTACTACGTTACGGTCAGTCGTCATGAAATGAAGACACCGTCCAACCTGGCCTAGCCCCCCCCCAAGAAATTAATGCCAGGCAAGGTAATGCTCTGTTTATTGCAGTGACCCTATTTTTGGAAATTTCCAATTGTAAATTGTGAGAAAATGTGACTTTCTTACTGATAAACCATCCATGCAAATTTGCACCACGTGTCATGTGTTAAAACACAGTTTCCCCTCATAATTTCCTTCAAAACTCAAAACACTGCCCTTTTTTGACAACTTCAACCCCACACTTATTGAGAATGTTGAGCATGAAGTCATGGGCCTAGTCATCTACCAAGGTGAATTCAAACGTTAAAATGTTTCTGTAGCTCTATGATGATGATTATAGGAACTGAGGAACAGGGTCCCCAAATTTACAATCCCGGCATCGCCGGCCTTGTCCAAATGTTAAAAGAGTTCTATATTCGGATGCCAGTAATTGTTCCCGGCAGTGACTTAGGCCCCATATGATCAGAAACTCTCTGAAAGCAAAAAATTTCCAGAAAATAATCAATTTGGGGGGGGGATGAATACCAAGTTATTTACTGAGAAAACACTTCGAATTTTTTAGACGAATATCATAGGGTTTGTGCACGGGCTCATCCATATATGGAACTCTTTCCAAAGAGGTGCTGACCAGATGGTAAACATGTTAAAAGAGGCGATTTGTAGAGTCTAGTTACTCGGATTAATGCACACCACAACTAGCAACTGGCAGTGGTACGTGTTTTGTTTTGCTGTTGGGTTTTCCCATCATTTTGCTATTTTCATAGATGTCTGGACCTGTGTCGTTTTATTTCAAGAAAGTACCAATGGACATCAGGAAAGAGTTGTATACTGACCATGCTAACACCCTATCATGCCTGCAGGCTTCACAGTCAGGCTAGGAAATAAGACTGGTTCAAAAAATCTAAGTGTTCCAAATTCTAAGTAAATGCTACAATATTTTCTCCACTAAATTTGACTTTTAGGACATGTTTTCAATTTCTGGTGCTTGCTACATCACTGCAGGGAAAATGAGTGATTTCCGTGTGAAGAACTCTTTCCAACCTTTTTTCTGCTATGTTTTCAAGGTCGTAAGATAGCTATTGACGCTTCCATGTGTATCTACCAATTTCTCATTGCTGTGCGACAGGATGGATCTCAGCTAACCAATGAGGAGGGAGAAACGACAAGGTGATCACCAGGTTTTTTCTCCAAGAATTATAAAAAGCAACAAAGTTTCCAATTAAAAAAAAAATTACTCATTTTCCAACAGTTTCACATCACAATCCAAGAAGCTGTTTAGAAATTCCTGTGTTTTAATTAATGTGGATTTTACTTTGTGCTGTTGTTCACAGTCATCTGATGGGCATGTTCTATCGAACAATTCGCATGGTGGAGAACGGAATCAAACCAGTGTAAGTGTCAGAAATTAAAGTTCGTTTTGTCCAAATTCCCAGATGATTTATTTCATGAATGTACATGGATGCATACCATGTTTTAACATCCTCGGTCTACTGTGACATCAGGCTGTTAGTCAAACATGAGCCAAACCCGATTCACCTGCTTTTGTCTTTATGCCTATTTATGATATGGATCCCTGGGTATTATTTTACCGGTGGAGTTTCGCAAACACTTCCAGATATGGGACTTATGATACCATACAGTCATTTAGTTTTTTTTCTGCTGAGTACAAAGTGCTGGGTCAGGTGAGCCTGCTCTGTGCACTAAGGTTTCTTGGGCTCCCCAGCATGTTGATTGAGGCAATTAGAGTGAGATTTGAAGATTTTATCCTAAGGACAGGGCCCTAATGGTCGGTAACGAAGGTGTGGTTGGAATCAATGTCAGCGAGCTGGAGGTCCACCCAGCTGTTTGTGGAGTGTTTTCAATCTGTCTACAGTTGCCAGTCAGGTTTGCTGAAGATGATGTCACCACTTTCTCTTACAGTGCATACACTTGTTTTTCTTCTTGGATTAAATGAGATGCCATGGAGTGGGCATTGGTTGCCGACGTTCGGAAATTTTTTTTCTGGTCAAGTTGGGATACGCCTTCAAAAAGGTGTTTTACCTCACTAATTCAGCGTTGCATTGATTATTTGAATTGTCAATTGAGTATTTAAATGAATCAACTGTCAGTGAGTTTTTAGTTTGGAAATTGAATATTCAAGAGTTAAAAATCAGTGAAATAAAAAGGGAAATATTCAATTATTTGGTTGCACTTTGAAAGCATATTTCAGTGAGTTATGAGTAAACCTGAAAGAGCTGGATCAATATGTATGTACGTTTCCTTCAAGTTATCAGGGGCCAATTTCATGGAGCTGCTTAAGCACAGAATTTGCAGATAAACTGATTTTTCAAGCAAGGTTTTTTCATGCTTAAGCAAATTTTGTGCTCAAGCAGCTCAATGAAATTGGCCCCTGGTTTTACATTCCGTAAAAGCCTGTATATTTTGATGCTACTTTTGTGGGCATTTGGTGCATTTTAATATTTTGCATATTCCGTCAAATGGAAGGTTGAATATTTGAATATTCAATTGTGTTAATTTTGTCAGCTTTTCAACTGCTTGCAGAAAGTCCAGATTCATTTCGGAGTTGATTTTCTCATTCCCTCTGCCACCATTCCTCAGTTACGTCTTTGACGGCAAGCCACCAGAGCTCAAATCTGGCGAGCTGACCAAGCGCATGGAGCGACGCAGTGAGGCGGAGAAGGAGCTGGAGAAAGCCAAGGAAGTGGGCGACAGCGCTGGCGTGGAGAAGTTTGAGCGGCGGCTGGTCCGCGTCACGCAGCAGCACAACGATGAGTGCCGGGACTTGCTGAAACTTATGGGCATCCCTCACGTCACGGTTGGTATCCATATTAGACTCCAACTAGAATGATACCTACCAAACCCTTTTCGAATGCTTGCTTTTAATGAATGAATTACGCTGGAAACATGCTAAATTGCACCATTCTACCACATGCTTGGGTCGTCCGCGCCGGTGCTGATACTTGCAAGCGCTATGGCGTGCGTGGGCCCCATGCGTGCAGCCGGCACAGCACAGCAGTGCGGTATGGTGTATTTTGTATACACAAATTCACATAGGCTGTTCACATGCGCACCATACTAACAATGAAATCGAGGCGCAAACAAGTTCTTACTCACACATACGACGATTGCACACGTGGGGAATTTAGTCTGTGAATCCGCGTAGACGCCTTGAGACAAGGCTAGTACCGCATAGCGAAACAATGAAACCACGGCAGCAAAACAGAAGACTTATTACATATTTCTTGAATTAAACGAAACCCAGTAAGCTTGGTGTACCATAGCTGTGTGGGCCCTTGGAAGTGTTCAATAAAGATTGAGGTTTGATATATTTTAAGGCTCGGATTTAATGTTAATTTTCTGAATTTTGTCGCACTATTGCAAAATAAAATGGCTGGTCGATGTCCAACATTAACATGTCGTGATCAACAACTGTTACATGCAAGACCTGACTTCACTGTACAGTACATGTACATGTATGTAATCTGATTTCATACACGACGAGTGGCACATGAATTGTACGTAGATTAATCGTAGCAAATTTTCGGCGATAGCAAGCCAGTGGGAAATCAAGGGGTGGGGTGTGTAGTATTTATTGTCTGGATTTTTTTTTTAATTTTCACTACAGAAATTATGAAAAAGTTGGAAACATTGCAGAGTATTTCGAAACAATATTGTTGTTATTTTGGTTTTTTGGGGGAGGAGCGGTGTGGTTGGGTAAATGGTTTCCATGCATAGTTTAAAACTTGCTCTCCTATTTCATGCTTACGAAGTAAGGTATAAACAGAATTTGAATTTCTGAAGTGGAATTCTGGATTTGGCGAAATGGAAAATCGTTGGCTCTATCTGTGGTTGTGGCTGCAGCCACTCCCTATGGCATTGTGTGTAATTTCAAGCCGCAGCCAAGTAATTCAGACATGGCTTTGTGCCCCTCTGGGTTCATTCCAGCTGCCAAATTTTCAATAGTGGCCAAAGTTCTAGCTAAAAGTACAGTAGCTATTTCCCTGTTTAAATGCAACTTTTTTCTTGCAAATTGTTCAGGATGATACTAACAAAGTTTGTGAGTCTCAGCCATTGGGTGAAGTAGCAACTGAGAGTTGATACATCCGAGTAAATTGTTTTCTCTCAGGCCCCCAGTGAAGCGGAAGCTCAGTGTGCTGCCCTGGTAAAGGCAGGGAAGGTGTATGCAGTGGGCACAGAGGACATGGATGCACTCACGTTTGGAGGGACCGTTCTTCTGAGACACCTTACTGCAAGTGAGACGAGGTAAATGTTACCCTTAGTCTAGCTGTTAGCCTGTGGTGTGTTAAACATTTAGGCTTTGCAGGAAAGAACATAATGGATGTTGAGTGATATCCACAGCAATGTTTTTGCGTGGGTTTTGGAATGGACTACTGTGTTCTTAGATTTCATTGGCTGCTTTTCCATGAGACAGTTCTTTCCTCATATCCTGATCGGTCAGGCTGTCTCTATGTGTGCATGAGTAGATATTCAAATTCCTTGACCCCATGTCAGAGGTCATCAAGCCAAGAAGCTGGTTATCTGGCTCAGTATCTAAGAACAGGGCAGTACCCAGGTACTGACTCGGTACCTAAGAACAGGGCAGTACCCAGGTTATATACTTATTAAACCTGATTGCTTCGCTTCGGTGTTTCACAGGAAGTTACCTGTTCAGGAATTCAGTCTTCCCAGAGTGCTCGGCGGATTAGAGCTTTCACAAGATGAGGTAGTTACCCCTTTATTCCTCTGAGTTTTATTCAAATTAATTTCCTCATTGCATGAAGAAATTCCAGCTCGAAAGACCATTTTTTTTTATCATTATTGGGTTTCCAATAAGTATTCTATGTCCACAGCTTCAACCTTTTACTGCGCTTTACATACCCTGACAGGTGTCTTACATGTATTTCTCATTTTGCTGTCACAACATGCTGATGCATTTTGCACAAATCTGGTTAACAGAAGAAGTATTCCTAATACTAGAAATAAGGCTTATCCAAGAGGAAAGCTAATGTGCATTTCTTGTGACTGTGACTTTGGGTAATGTTCTGTTTAGCAGTTAGCATGAGTTTACTTCATAGCAGTGTTTTTGCCTAGCAACTTTCTGAACTTGGTCAAAACTTAATATGGTACACAAAATATAGTACCTAATGGTATAAGTACACATTGTCAGTGAACAATTTCACCAACAGTTTGTGGACCTTTGTATCCTGATGGGCTGTGACTATTGCGGCAGCATCAAGGGTATTGGACCCAAGAGGGCCATTGACCTCATCCAGAAGCACAAATCCATTGACGAGATCCTAAAAAATATAGACACGAAGGTATGCAATTGTTGAACAAAATTTTGTTGTTTGTCGTTTCCGATTTGTGTATCATGGGCCCGCTTTTGATGGCTTGTGCCAGTCATAGGACAGTTAAGCCTGGGAACTTGCTTGGTAGATATTTTTGCTTGGGCAAAAACAAAAACATGGTTACCAACCAAATGCTGTGCAGTGCATATTGCTTGTGAATGGTTCCCAGCTAATTCTTGCCAAGTGATGTTTATTAGGCCAAGGTGAGGACAGGCATTGAGTGCAGTTTGACCATTGATCAGTTGCTTTTTTATCCGTGTGCATGCAGAGTGCCGATACATTTGAACTACCTTAGTTGAACTACTAAGTAAAATATCATCTCCACTCACCTTTTGCAGTTACTAAACAGCTCTGGTGGCATTCATAGTCAGTGGCATCTTGTGAAAATTATTTTCATGTGAATGGTCTATAGTAAGAGAATAAATATGTGCTTGGCCGATGGGCTCAGGAGAATGGACGTGACTAATACCTGAGCCGCAGGTGAGAGCATTATCAGCGTTCATTCTCCAGTGGTTTCCTCAAGCACACATTTATTCCCATTCTTAAGTACTTTTTTTAGTCAGAGAGCCAAAAGTAGTCAACGTATGATATATTTCCAATGATTTTGTTTTAGAATTTTACTTTCATTTTCCCCAAACACCCCCATCCATTCTGTGGTATATTCCTTGTGCAAGTTGTCCAGAAAAATCTCCATATATGTACTTGGTGCAAATGTGGTGCATTCTGCATTTTTTGACGCAGTGGGCATTATCAAATTTCAGTAGGCATCGTCAAAAATTAATGCATGGCCATGTTGCGCATTGTTGAATAGGGAAACTGTCTGAGGTAACTACGAATGTTACATTAAATTGGCCACTGATTCAGGGCCTGGTTCCAAATGGTTTTGGAACAGTAGTTGACTACAAGCATCACTCAAATTTGCTGTGACTGGTTTATGTGTGCCACTATCTCTCGTTATCCTTTGACATCGTGAAAGCACTGTGTTGAGAGCCATCGATGCTTCAGTTTTTCACCGTCAAGTAATTGTGGAAGCATTTGAGTTGAACTTGTAAGCATCCCTCACTCTTGTTTGCATTCCTCTTGTAGAAACATCCCCCACCTGAGGACTGGCTTTACAAGGAGGCCCGGCAGCTCTTCATGAAGCCTGATGTTACACCAGCAGAAGAGATTGAGGTAAGTTGTCTTTGCAGGGTTACAAAAGATCTGAAGAACGTGAAACATGTCAGTCAGAAATGTAGGTTTTCCCACTGCTATTTGTTTGAGAACCAGTCTTAACAAGTCAGTTCACTATTCCAACTCGCACAATGTTGACTTTTTTGAACTGTCATGACATCTGTTGCTGTCATCCCAAATGACCTTGCCTCATTAAACGGACTGAAGCTGTTCAGCAAGAACTTAAACGAGGCAAGCTTGTGAATTCTGCTCCTTACAAGGCCCTAGATGGCATCAAGCACACAGGATTAACAGTGGTGGAAGGCAAAACACAGTTTTGTTTTTTATATTTTAGGCAGGATTTGATTTGAGCACTAGTAAAGTTATAGGGCTTTTCTAAGGCTCATGTGAAGAAAATTGCTGTGGACCTCGTATTCATCAGATATAGTGATCTTAAAATTTCATTTCAGCTGAAATGGACTGAGCCCGATGAGGAAGGCTTGTTGAAGTTCATGTGCGAGCAAAAAGGATTCAAGTAAGTCATAAGACCAGTGGGGATCTAGAAAAATTATGAGAGACACATTAAAAAGATGATGCAAAATTTTTTTTAAATGCTGTAGTTTAAACAGTAATAGTTGCCCATTTTAAAGGTGTGTTGAAAGACCAATCTGACCACTTGCAGATAGTGCAAAAAACAATTTCTTGTATTAAAGTTAGAACTACTCTGACCTGGCCGATCTTTTAAAAAGAAGATTGAATTTTGCTCTTACAAATGCCATTATTGATCAACTGTTTCCTCCTCATTGTTATAAAAAGTGAGGATCGCATCCGGAATGGCGTCAAGAAGTTGTTGAAGGGCAGACAAGGATCAACACAGGGCAGGCTGGATAGTTTCTTCAAGGTAGTCACACCGACGGGACCTTCTAAGAGGAAGGTAGGACTTTGTGGGTGGTTTGTAATCCAGAGCCAACTTACTTGAAGCCCTGAGCAGAAAATTGATGCAAAATCAGCCGGAAAAATTTTTATTTTGATCTGTGGTTTCACTTTGTTTAGTCTCATGTCCACTAATGATTGGAAATAATTTTTTACTGAAATACAATTTTTGATCGTGAATCAAGTTTGGATACCCTTTTCCCAGCTTTTCTTTCACATTTGTACAATTGGGTCGTCTTTTAGCTTGTGTGATAATCTTTTTCCCTCTCGTTTTTTTCAGATTGCCGATACAAAAGGATCCCAAAAGAAAAAGCCAAAGACCGGCGGCAGCGCTTTCAAGAAACCAAGATAAATACTCCTGCACTGTGCCCATCTTGACAGCAGTTTCTACTTCAGGGCCCAGGAAAGCAGAATTTTTTAATGGTATTGTCATGGTGGATATTGCAGATGTCTCCATTGACCTCAGCAGATGACCTTTAACCTCCATGCTTTACCAGTTACGTAATCAGATCGGCATTAGTACCGATTCAAAGGTCAGCATTTTTGCAGGCATCAGAGGAGACAAGGATGTAATAGACCGATTTCGGGTTTTTTGTGTTTGGATAACATTTCTGGATGCCGGAAATGTATACTGAAACTTAAGTCAAAAATGTCAGATCCACCTTACATCTCTGCAGACAGTTAGAAATATGAATTTCAGCAAAGGTATTCTTAAGTGTAAATGGACTAACAGCAGTAAAATGGATTTCTTTGGTTTGCCTTTAATTCAACTTATTGACTTGATGACAAAAGAAAAAGGTCAGGATATCTTGTAGTTTCAGCAAATTTATTGATCACTAGAAAAAAATGTTTTCAGGTACAAACACATTTTATATAAATTGTATCAACATGTACAAAATTATCCACATTTGGGTTTTCAAAGGACGGAACTCATTAAATAGAATGCATACAATTTTCATAACTCCTGTTTTTTTTAAAAAGGCGCTTATTAAAGAGTCACGTCAGATTTTATCTGGAGCTCAAACCTTTCATTTCTACATAAAACTTTAACTCTTCTGACCCTCTCACTTGTATGTGTCCACGCTGTCAGAGATGATGGGTGCAGTTGCCAAGCTCTGTAGTGTGTTAAACATTGCACAAGGAGGTGAGAGTTCAAGAAATTTCTGGCTGCCATGAATACACACGCTGCAGCTCTTAAAACCTACGTGAACAGGCAATGCTGGTACATGTATCTGTAGATTTTTTTTATTTTAACATCTGAAAGTTCAGTGTAAATGAAATCTGATAAGTACAGTGCGTTGAACCAAACATTAAATAAAGGCAACAGCAAAGGTGAACTTAGTTGCGTTTGCGTTTCATGTTGAAGTCCGTTCTTGGAATGTAAAGACCTTAGAAGTAAAATGCAACTATTTTGCCGCAATTCCAGCAAGATATATGATTCTAGAGCTGGTGGTACTTGATTCAACAATTTATGGCAGGATCACAGCTCAGATGAGCGAGAGCAGGGTGGTTTACTCGTCACAGGTTAAAAAAACAAATTTTATCAACTGAAAATTGACAACAAATTCTAGTTGAACATAAAGACCTTAAAAGCCTGACAATAAACAACACCCATGGTATTTGTGTCACCTGAACAGCAGTGAACCCCCACCCAAATAATCCAACAAAAACAACCAGCGAGTATTGGAAACAACATTCTTTGATGTGCTCCAAAATGGAGCCCCGTTGACCCTGCTGAAAATGGGTTGGGGCGGATAGTTGTCATCGGCTATACAAAGCTCCTGTCGGGGGTTACAGGGAATGTCATCAAGGGAATGCAATGCCGTAAAACTCGTGGCCTGGTGTGTTGAAGCATTTGTAGGAGCAGAGCAAGGCACGGATGGGAACTCGACCTGGGGAATTACTCAGCTTAAGGTCCTGTAACAAGGAAGGAAAAAAGAGAAATATCATGGCCTACTTTCCAAACACTGCTCTGCAAATCTGTGACCTTAGCAGAAGGCTGCGGAGAGCCAGTGAGAAGCAATACACACCGCATAGCATTTTAGTTGGTAACCTGGCTTTCCTCAGTAACTGTTTTTGAAGGGTGCTTTTCAAATAGCTTTGCAGCCCTTCAAAATTGCCCCAATGATAAGTTCTTACAGACAAGGGGCCAATTTCACAAAGCTGCTAAACAAACACCTGTCCAGCTCTAGGATTCCAAAACAAATAATTAGCCCAAAGAAAGATGTAAAATGCCAGTGACTGGTCTCTGGTCAACATTTTCTTAGTACTAGTATCCAGTGGGGGATAATGCATGTGATTTCAAAGGCCGCCATAAGAATTATTAACATGCTCACTGTCAAAAAAAAATGCTACAACAATCTGTCAACTATTTTCTGGTGCTGAAAAGGTAAATTATGAAAAAAAAAGGACACGCAATCGTCAGAGAATATTGTTTAGATTGAAATACAGAAGAAGGAAAAGCAGGAGTTTGGTATATAAAAAACATTTGCTTGGTGTGGCGTACTCACTCTGTGTCCATCCACAAACCGCACACACTCCAGCCAAGTGTTGAGGAATGATGCCCCACAGAGGGCGCACTTGCTGGCCTGCGCCAGCATGTCCCGGATGTTGGGGTAGTGACGTATGGCCCTCCGCATGTATGACCACCTGGGAATATTTGCACACGTCCAATGTGCCAGTTAATGTTTGGAAAATCAGTTTTGTTGTTCCTCAGTGCATTTATAAAGAAACTAAAAAAAATGGCATTGAACAATATCGGTAAGAGGGGAATGAAATTTAATTGGGCACACTCAGAAGATCCTGGATCTCGTGGGTAACAAGCTGACGTATTGAAGGGATTTTCAAAATGTATTATGTTCTATCTAGGGGGACACATCCCCCCCACAGCAGATGCCCATGGTCTCCCCTCCCCCGGGTGCACCCCATTTTCTGTGAATAATCTGTTGCAGCTTAATTTTTTGTGGTTCCCCCTTGAAAAAAAGTGTTCACCCCGGGTGCCCCCTGGAAATTTAACCCTAGTTACACCATTGTTCAGTGGTACATGTAGGGCTTGAACTCTTGCGCTGTTGCTTCACTGGAAGTGCCTCTCCATCAGAGAGATTTGTTTTAGAGTATTGACTTAGCAAGGATCAGGTAAAGCTGTGTATTGCCATAGTAACGGACTAACACCTTTGCAACCTCCCCTTTTGGGGTATAATGTAGAATTAAAAAACTCACTGATGTTGCCGAATACAAATTAATCATACATGAAATATACTGTAAAGTTAATTTGGACGGCACTGCCCTCCTGTCGCATGATCACTACACAACCCACAAATGCAGAGAGCACCTTACCAGGGGTTATACAAAAATCTGACATATGATGGTCAAACAATAATTGACACAGAGCCTCAGCCATAGTGGGGACAACCTTAGTGTGCAACGATATGCAGGTGAGGATATCGGGACTTCCTCCTGCTGCCTTACCTCCACCGTGAAGTTGTACCCCAGTACTGGACGATTTCAATGGGCACTTGTGCCTGCCCTAGTAGACTGAGCATTCCGACGAATTTTGCCAGTGTGCACTTACATACGTAAGGCTAGTCTTGGTTTCAAGACGTTAGTGCTTGATAGCGGACACCGTGCATAGTGCGCCCCCAACGACACATAATTAGACTGTGCGCCAGTGAGTTAGTGAGAGTAAGTAAAAACTAGTTGTGCGAGGGCGCTCTTCAACAGAAAAAAAACAACCATCGATCACTGATGTCTTGGGCTAAGACTAATGTAAGGCAAGCATGTACCACCATTAGGCTGTGTCCGAATCACTTGGCTGTGGCTTGAAACAACAGATGACGCTGCATCCGAATCTGTTGTCCAGAGCTAGGTCTAGGTCTTCGCTCCATTGGAAATGTGTGGAGACGCGTAGACAATAGACCTAGCCGTAGCTCTGGAAGCCCGTTTCGGACACGGCCTGAATCGATGGTTGTGGTTGTAGACACTTTACAGAGAGTCACTTCCAAGGCGCAGCCAAGGGATTCGGACATGGCCTGTTATCTACGCATGGAACTCATCTAGTCCTACATAACACTGCCTGACCGAAAATCCGAGGCACTGAATATTGACAAAAACAAGCTGGGACAAAAACAAAACAGCTTGGGACAAAGAGCTGATTCAGTCACTCCTACATGTGAGCCGTGCCAAGGTTAATGTGAGTTGCATCTTTCTAGAGATGTGACAAAAACGTGTCCAAACGGGTGCCTAAGGGTGACCAGTTGGCCTATGTACCAATGACTTGGGCGTGATGACATTGCACTTTGTTTATGTGTGTACTTTCCTACGGAGCCAGCGGGGGCCCAACCCCGTGGTCCACTGACCACCACAATATGAAAGAACACATGAAAGTGGGGCACATCAGTACAGAGGTCTACTGTGCTTGCGGATGTGTATTCAGGTGCAATCATATTGTGCTTAAATGGAAACCTGTGCCACAAGTACCAACTTGAACACGTACCGTGCAGGGTGCAATGGGAGCCGGGGATATTAATGGTCAACTTACGCCGGATTTTCCTCATAGAATACCTTGTCTCCATATTTGACCATCTTACGTCTGAGTGTTAGTGTGGCATGCAAATATATTTAATCATGCAAATTGTTACATTTTTATACAATTGTTACATAAAGTGTAGCTTGGGTTACTCATTATGCAACTCATTTCTTTAATTGTAAGAGTTCCTTCACCACAAAAGAATTTTTTAGATATTTGAAACAACAAATGAAAATAAAGGAATAGTTGCTTTTCAGGATACATTGTATCAGGGTGCTAAAAAGAACAGGTGTTTTAATTACAGTCAGTGAACATTTTACATGCATAATCAACAATTCTGTCGCAAACATTTATAAAGGTGGGCGCTGCATGTATTACTTTAAACTGTAATATTACTTCACACACTGATCTATTTCAAACTTTTTTGTACTCTTAAAAAAAGGACAAGTTACAGGTGGAGTGTCCTACCTGTCCTTCAACTGCTTCATGACGTATCGTGCAGTGATTTCCTGAGTGAAAATAGAAATGATCTTCTGTGAAATCCGTGTTTCAATTTTACTGTCCACTGATTATCTATCTCATACCAATCGTCCGAACGTTTCTTGAGAATTCAAAATATGTCTTTTTCTGTATTCAGCAAAATCTGTCCCGCCCACACACATCATTATGAAAAATATCCTCAGTGTTAGGTCTTCGATCTTTACAGAAAAGCAGAGCTGAGTATGGAGAGTAGTGACAACTTCTGACTTTGGATTCAAAATGGCCGTTCATTTTGTGTGCAATACAGCAGCAGCTACTGCGTGCTTTCTATGAGCGCTGATGCATAAGCCACCATTTTGGTTCCAACAATTAAGACGCTCATGTCGCAACTCTCCCTCTAAACAGCTCTGCAGAAAAGGTTTGCAGAGCGCCCTCAATTATCAGTGCACAGACCTGATAAGCACAGCACCTACCTTTAATGTGAGAATCTCCTCTTCCTGTATGGAGTGAACAGGCAGGGCATCCAGTAGCGGATTTTCCTCACAGTACAACTCCTTCAGAGGGAGCTTGTGTATCTGGTCAAGGTAGGCAAACCAAAAGGGTTCCTGTGAGGGCGCTGTTTGAAATCGTTACCATTTTCTGTCCTCCCATTTGTGATATATAGGGAGGTCAAATGTTTATATGAACTTGGCAAGTGAGGGTCTACCTACATGTACTTGCAAGATCTAAGACTTCATATTTGACAACCAATCCTCTTTTCTAACTGATCAAAGAGTACTGTACTTTAGAGCGAGTTTTTTTAAAAGGGGTGCTTGTTAATTCTTAGGGGAACTTGAGCAAGGAAAGGGCATCTGCACCTACAGTTAACAGATTAGAAAAGTAGGGTCAACTTGTCAGTGTTTCTGACCCTCAAAAACTGTAATGGTCCAATATGAAATTCTTTCTGTTTATTCCTTACCTCCAAATGCAGTAAATCCATGTTACAATGCATAATGAACTTTAAACATTATGAGTACAGAAGTTCGTAGCCCCAATCATTTTTGATACAATTTACAAACTTCCACAGCTGACAAAATTACATCAACAAATGAAGAAACCAAATAAACAAAAACTAGCTGAAAGATACTGACCGGGATAAAAGGACAAGACAGATGTCAGTACATCAGGCACACAATTCTACACATCGAAGAGCAAATACATCAATGAAATTTGATTGATGGACGTTACCGTACTGAATGAAAGACAGAGGAACTAATGACCAAACAGATAAAGATAATGAAGCAACAGCAAAAAGCTGGAGAAACATCTTGGAAATAAACATTTAGACAATATCAACCACAAATTGGCTTACTTCAGTTGGGAAAATCCTGATCTCGTTAGCAGCGGCATCGATGATCTCCAAGTGAATCAACTTCCCTAAGCCTTCGGGTAGCTCCTTGATCTTGTTCTTCTGCACGTGCAGTCGGCTCAGCTTTACTAGGAATCCAATCTCCAGTGGAAGAGCGGAGAGCTGGTTCCCGGCAGCATGGAGTTCGGTCAGCTTGCTGAGAGCGCACATCTCGGCCGGGAGACTGGTTAACTGGTTCCCATCCAAGCTCAGATACTGGAGGTTCACTAACCTGAATTCAAGGATTAAGGTTTATTTAGATCAATACCAAAACAAGAGAGGTCAAAACCCAAAAACCAAAGTGTCAGAGAAGGGTTAAATTTGAGCTTCTGGTGAAAAAACATTAATTTTTCAAATTCAATTTAGGAAATAAGCTTAAATCCCCAAAACTGTTTTTACGAAAGTCAGTGTTCACAAATGCTCTGTATGGACAAGACTTTAAAAAGTAACATTTAAGGTTCTGGTCAAATCTATTTAAAGAGCTGAACTTTGAAGATCATAGCAAGTGTGTACAATGACTGCAGTTCTACAGTTTTTAGCAATAGGTCGATCTATTATTCAGTACCACTCACCTGTTAATTGCTGAGGGAATGGTCTTAATTTGATTGTTGTTCAAATTTAGAAAAGTCAAATTCCTGAGATCACCTGCAAAATTCAATGGAGAAAAATTGCACAGGATTTCTCAGCAAAATGAAAAATTATTGACCCAAAGAATGATTTTTAAAAATTATTACAATATTAAATGCCACATCTTTCATGAAGTATGACGACTTCAGGATTCAAACTATCTGACTCTCAAAACTGAGCAGTCCAATCACATGTTGCTAGGTTTAGAATTTTCAAAGTCAGTGCGCTGGGAAAGGAAGGGATAGTTGAAAGACTGTTTCCTCAGTCAACAGGGTCAATGATAAAAAATCAAATCAGGAAGGTCTCTTAGGGATATGCATGCATGCCCAGAAAATGCAGATATACTTACCAATAATCTTGGCATCGATTGTTTTAATCTGGTTGCCAAAGAGATGGAGTTTCTCTAGGGCATGGAGTGTGGCAAGAGACTCGGGCAATTCCTCCAAGCAGTTATTACCCAGATTTAAAACTGCCAACTAAAAGGTAAATGGATTATCATTGTTATGTAAGGCATTATTACAATGTAAGAAATTATAATGCTATCTATGTTGGGCACGATTGGTCAATCTGCATGATTAAGGCAGACCCTGCAGTGTATCTCCAACTTTACTTCCCTTTTTTCAATTGATCTTCTGTAACAACAAATTACAAAGTTCCATTGGCTGAGGGAGGGATTATTGATGAAGCACAGGCCTAAATAAAATTGACTGATTATGTAAAGATCACATGACAAAGATGAACAGATTGCTCTAATTTCTGTGAAGGAAACAGTAAGAGAATCAGATCACACAATAATTTATTCTATCAGTACGTATGCGCGCATTCTTTGCAATTGTTTTCATCGGTTTCTACCCGCAATTTTGCAAAACTCCTGGATGTCCATGCTGTAGATGGCGAAAATAGGGACCTAGCGACTATAGAGTCACATACGTTAGTTTTCGGGATTTTTTTCAGTCTTTCTTAGTGTTCTCTTTTACTCAGACTGTGTTTGGTGTTTTTTCTTTTTAATTTTCTGCGTTTTGGAAAGTGTTTTCAAACCCGTCCAACACATGGATTTCTGTTTTCTTTAGCCCCACTAGTGTGGCACTTGTCTCGACGGCTGTTCCATGTCAAGATAACTAAACTGCTGCCAAAGTTTTGGAAGAGCCCATTGGGACATGTAGTATCTTATCGCTCAGTCCATGTATTATGACAATGAGGGGTCAAGTGACGTAATGCTCAACGACCTTATTTTAAAAATGGCGACTGAGAGAGCGAGCCCGTTAGATTAAATGGATAAAGGCAAAAAGACTGGAAAATACCTGAATGACGTGAGTGAAATCATTCAATAAATGGTTTTTAGAAAGCGGAAAGGTCAAGAATCATGTTTGTGTGCAAAAGAAATTGCGCCCATGATGATAAGTGGGTGCACCGGAATGTTCAATACGCCGACATGAAATTGCGTAGACGGATGTGTGGCTAAGGAT